GAGGACCATCTCCTCTGATTGGCCGAACTCTTCTTCTTTTGCTGCTGCTGCGCGTGCACAGAGAGAGGTGTTACCAGGTTTTTGCGTAGTTTAGAGTGACAAATCGTACCAGTGTACTCTGAGGTCAAAATGCATACAGGTTGGCAGGTCTGGAAAAATAAAACATTTAAGCAGTTCATTTGTCTTTGTCATACTGAAAGTGGAAGGTCAGGTCGAACTCATTGCATTGTGGGATACAATATTCTGTGCAGAGTACACTGTTGTGTATGGCACATTTTGTCATTCAGATACTCTGTTCATATTAATAATTTGCAAACTTGGAACAATATACTCATTACATACTGTAAAATAGTACAATTAGTATTGTAGTAAGCTATTTTGAACAGTACATATACATATATATATATATATATATATATATATATATATATATATATATACATACAGCATATACAGTATATATATATTCACACCCACACACACAAACATATACATACATAATGGAAGAACAGTAACCCAGGAAATAAAACATGCAGGATATTTAATCATACAATTATGCCATCAAATAATCTTTTGGCTTAAAATGAAGGTATTTTGGAGGTTGTTGAATTTGTTAGGAATTTATTTATTGGTTTTGCAGGTATTAATGAAAATGACTCCAGAGTTTACTGGTGTTTACTGAGGAATATTAACAGTAGTATGTGATAGTGTTTGTGTGCGGTGGGCTGGCAGAGTAATTACTTTGAGTGGGATGTGAAGAGTTCTCAAAGCAGCAGCTGTCAGTCGTGTTGAGAGGAAGTACAGAACAAAAGTGTGTTGAGGTGAGGAGATCAAGCCCACACTTATATTTGCACATGTCCTCGTTTATGAATTATGAAGCAGAGAATAATAGTAAATCCGTCTGATCTGAAATGTTGTAATCCATGTAATAAATTTCAATAAAAGTGTTCTTGTCTGTAAAATTCCATGATTTAATATACTGTAGTACTATTTTTATATATATAAAAAAAGGTTTAATAATGTGATTGATTGATTTATTTAATTATAATTTAAATAATCCATTTTATTCATGAATGTTAGGAGCTTTTTTACTTTTACTTGAAAGGACGGTTTAAGAAACAATATATTCAGGAATTTTAATTAGTAGTATCATTTATTTGCATGGTAAGAATTAAACCACATTTTCAGGAACAATTTCCTCCTTCCTCACCTTTATCGTCTTCTTCCCTTTCAGCCCTGACCAATATCAAACTATGGGCTATAGATCGACAGGGTTTCCAAACCATCATGATGAGAACTGGCCTTCTCAAGCATTCGAACTACATGGAGTTCTTGAGAAGGTAACACAATTTAGCATCAAATCAAATTTGACATCTGAAACTAAAATCAAGAGTTTAGATTTAGTAAAACTAGTAGTAGTAATGCTGTCACCTGAATTGTGTCGTCAGTGTGCCCTCCTTCAAGACTCTCACTGAAGATGTGCTGAGTAAAGTAGCAGATGTTCTGGAAGAGGTGAAGTGTTTGAACACTGCATGTTTATTCTAAAATCAATTCCGAATTGATTCATGTGATCTTTGTGACCTTCAGTATTTTTATTCTGTGTTGTTTTCGCTCTCTCTTTGTATTTTAGACTCACTACAATGATGGCGACTACATCATTCGTCAGGGCGCTACTGGAGACACATTCTTCATCATCAGTGAGGGTCAGGTGAGAAAAGAGCCTTTCTGAGGCTTCCTGCTGAGTTGTAGAACAGAATATTTATTGAGTTTTGTGGCTGTTTTGCCCCACAGGTGAGGGTCACCCAGCAGAAATCAGCCAGTGAGGAGCCAGTGTTCCTGTCCACACTGTCTAGAGGGGATTGGTTTGGAGAGCAGGCTCTCAAAGGGTCAGGGAGAAACCTCATTTTTAGGGTCATAATTCTCATTCTAACCATTCTGGTTAAGATTTAAGAATATCTTTTTTACATTTTTCACTTTTCTTCCCAGGGAAGATGTGCGTACAGCAAATGTAACGGCTGTTGGAGATGTGACATGTCTGGTTGTGGACAGAGAGTGAGGAGCTCGCAGCACAATCACAATCAGTGATCGTTCAAAAACAGCAGTCACTATCTATCAGGATCACATCAGCACAAACAAAATCACAACCAATATCACAACCATCCCAAGCAAAGAAAATCGTAACTATCACAATCAAAAATAATCATCACATTTAATCTAAATAATAACTCACAATGAACATCACAACAATCCCAATCAATCAAAATGATAACAATCACAATCGATATCTATCAACATAATAATCATTTCATTTAGTCAGAACCATAACTATCACAATCCACAATATCATAACCATTGAATGGTTTTCCTCCTATTTGACCAGGAGGCAACAATTTGTTATATACCAGAAACACAAATCAGTCATCTACCAAATCCATCAGTTCTGGTGTACCTCAAGGTTCTGTTTTGGGACCTCTCCTCTTTGCTACCAGTTTGACAAATAATCAAACGCTATGGGTTTAACTTCCACTGTTACGCAGATGACATTCAAATGTATTTTAGCGCACCTTCCACCTCAGTGTTTCCTCCGCCTGCATTTTTAACAAATTGCATCAAGGAACTCAAGCTTTGGCTGGAGGCAAATTACCTTAAATTTAACTGATAAAACTGAGGTAATTCTGATTGGCTCTAAAGCTGTCTCTGTATATTACTCTCAGCTATTGGTATGTGTTCTGTCTTCTGGTATTGATGTTTAATTGTTTCTGTTCCTTAAACCTAACTTGTAAAGTGACCTTGGGTGTTGGAAAGGCACTATATAAATAAATTATTATTATTATTATTATTATTATTATTACCATGAAAATCATAACTATCAATATTAATATTTCAATCAAGATATCAAAATCATAGCTAGTCAGAACCATCGTAATCAGTCAAAATCAGAACCTGTACAATCACAATATCAGAACAGTCAGTGAGCTAATAACGTCATCTCTCCTCCGTCTTGTCGCATTTACTGACTGCTAATAAAACTCAACTCTAACAGGTCTTTCAAGCAGCTGATCGGAGGACTGGACAATATGAGCAACAAGATGTATGAGAGTGAAGAGGTGAAGGCCAGGTAAGCACATGATGAGCTGCTTCACATCCATCGATCAGAGATGAAGAGCATTCGGACTCACCAGAATAACTGACATCTCTCGTAGGTTGGAGGCAGAAGCCGCGTTCTTCTCTAATATGTCTCTCAGTGACTTCCGTGTGATCTGCACGCTGGGGGTGGGCGGCTTCAGTCGGGTGGAGCTGGTAAGACGAGTAGTTCGATGTTTCTGTAGGGGTGATTAGAAGTATATTGAGAGCATGTGTTCATATTGATTCTCTACAGGTGCAGCTGAAGAACGATCACAGTCGCTCCTTTGCCATGAAGGTCCTGAAAAAGCGTCACATCCTGGACACGAGTCAGCAGGGCCACATCCTGTCTGAGAGATGGATCATGATGGAAGCCCACAGTCCTTTTACTGTCAGGTCTGTACAACTCAGTGCCAGTTGATAACTTAGTCACATGATTTGATTGATTTAACTGTTTAATGTGCAATGCAAAAGCAATCTTAAAGGAAAAACCTATATTTTGTATGAACCTATATTCACTCCTACAATACATTTTAATGAGTTATGCAGAATTAAAACCATGAGTTTTTTTACTTAGTCTCCTAAAGTCTTAATCTGTATTTTATTGTTTACACATGTTGGTCTCATAAAGCTCAATTCTGTTAAAGGAGAAAATATATATATATATTAAAAAATAGATTCTTCTTGCATGGCACAAAGTACATATTGACTGTGAATTATTTGGGCATTATTATCCATCCATGAACTGACATTCAACTTATTTTAAGCCTTTTGGCACAAAATTAGAACTAGAATATCAAGAAAGTGAAATAACATAAGTTATCAATATATTATTTTATTTAATAATTCTAAATAAAAAAAATAATTTTAAAATTATTAATATTGATATTATTAATTGTGAATAATATTAATAAAAATCCTTAATATTATTTAAAATTGTTAATATATTCTTTCTTACAGTGTAAAATGTATATTATCAGGCTACACAGAGTATTTGGTAATAGTTTGAAAATTTAAGAATTAAATAAAGCATATTTGTTGACCACTAATTTGATTATAATAATTTGTAGTAATTTATTATATTATAATTATTATAATAATGATTATAATTATAATAAAATGTATAATTTTAATTAAAACTATTATAAATATTATTATAATATATTTTATATGATATAATATTAGTTATAATAATTATTATATCATATATGTCATAAGGGTCGATTTTTCGAAATTGAGATTTATACATCACCTGAAAGCT